AGTATTAAATGGTTTACAGCAATATTGCATTATACATTGTACAACGAACCTTTTCGGTACTCATCTTTTGAGTACGAATGTTACGGACTACAACTTAAAATATTCCACAAACAGTTTAGTTACGAAAAATATGTAAGTAGAAATTATATTTGGGGTGTGTAGATTACTTATACTTACTCTGTTGTCGTGTACAAGTAGCATAAAACGACGTATATCTGAAACACCAGCTAAAACCTGAAATTGACTCGCACATGGAACATGGAACTTTTTACGACTACAGTATCGTTCCGGAAAACTGAAACTCAACTCAATTGCGGTTGAACAGAACTAATAATGAAAGAATGCAATTTGCACATTCGTTACAGTATCAATTTTTGTCAACCCTAGCATGATTAAGCCTGTGCATAATATTATGTCAATTAAAAAGAGAATATAGTTATTCCTCTAGAAACCCAACTTTTATTTACAAGCTATATTTTGTCCTCATTTAAGCAGTTTATTACACCACGGCTACATAAAACTAATCAAATGTCAATGAAATGTGTTGCCTTATTTCTGTCTTGGGTGTATGGTTATTGCCAATAAAAACAATCAAAATCATCGCGATCTATACAAATGCCACAATTTGATACAAAACACTTCTTAATAGGCTCGTTCCCGTCGGTTCGTACATGTGTGACTGTAACATATACAATCTCGTTTTGAAAATTATTATATGAAATAAAAAAGATGTAATGTTGTGTTTGACATGCAAGTTGTTCATTTAGTTTTAATATGCACCAGAATCAATAACAGGCCCGGAAGCAATTACGTACCAATTAATATAACACTTTTCACGTATAGTTGGGTTTTAAATACGTCATATAATTACATTATAATAAAACAAACACTGTATAATTAAATACCAATTGTCATCATTTTCTTCGGCACAACAGTAGATTCGTCGATTTTGAAAGGAAAGAAAATAAAAAGAAAACAACGTCTGGCGTCTTGTATTTTTATGAACATACTTCGATTTAACTTGACTTTCAGTATGTTCTGTAAGCATTGACTACATTGATCCGTGACAAGAATGAATGGAATTATTGAAGAAATAAATCAAAAGCATCAGTTTTACAAATTATAGAACATTTCAGATGCTATTGAAATATGTCTTTCCATACGATTTCCGTAATACTATATATTTTCAAATTTATCAGTACAACACCTTCTTATAAATATGTCTGCACGCAAATCTAATAGACACTGCATGCCATGATATATTTTAAAATTTACTCATTATTTAAAGAATAGCCCTGAAATCTCCGATATAGCATCTAAAAATGAGGTAAACAAAATGAATACGGCGCCATGGTAGTAATTTACTAGTAAATTATTTAACTTACGGTGCCAATTTGTAAAATTAAAACTGTCTACGTACTTTCAAAGTAGATTAAGAGACGTTTAACATTACTAACTGATTGCATTTACAGACTATCGGAACGAGCATTTTCTATGCGAGAACAAATCTATTGCTCTTCAAGGATGATCTAAGATACAAACAGCTTTAGTGCATATAAACTAAAGACATGACATTATACGAGTTATTTTACGGGCATTTTAAATCAAATGGGAATAAATAAATCAACGCTGCAGTAGCTGCTTATGTTAGGAACACAAATATATGCTGGTAGAATGTTTTCTCTATAGACTGATAAATCCATTAGCCTTCTAAAGACATGGCGAGTTCATTTATTAATATCTGATTTATAACTTGTGATTTAACAATGATTTAAAATAGACATATACATGTAGTATGTTTATTTCTGTTATATGAAAATGCAATTGGGACAAAATTCTTGTCGGCAAACATAATATTACATACGACGCTTTTCATGGCATGGCACGGAAGTGTCACGTTAAAAGTTCCATAAAAACCGCCGTATGAACACATCTGCGGATGTTTTTAAATTCAAATTTTTACCATTTCATGTTTACATGTTGAATTCTGCTTAAGCCGGTGCTAGGGGGCGTGGTCGGTAGTTTGCACTTTACAGTACCGTCCATTAACAGGCTAAATCAAATCGAGTCTGCAACATTTTCAATTATGTTGTGTTGAAATTCCTTTAGGGATTCTTATTTTCTCTATTTTACAGATTATTTTGAAGTTTATATAACATGTTTAAATTATGAAATAATATCGGTCTTAGCAGTGGTGTTTATCGGCTTTTTAACATTGGTTTGGAGTTTTGATGCGAAGGAATTGACCACGAAGGCCGTTGACAAATACAACTATATTGTGTGTGTTGTTTTTGGAATTCTTGACGTGGTCATTTTCAAAGATCGGTAAAATTGTTTTGATAGTTTTCCAGCTACATTACATTATTTCTAAATCAGTTTATTAGGCACATGTCATAGCTAGCAAATAAATTACGTGCCTTTAAGGACTTTCATATATGTTCATTTTAGCTATAATTATTTGTTCAGACATTTATTACTAGAATTGCAAATAAGTGTGTTAACCTTATTCCTGGATGTAGCCTTATACCAAACTGCTTTTCTGTTTTCATTGTGAAACCTTTATCTTTGAATAGCATCTTTTATTAAACTGTTTTTGAAGTCACTCTGTCTTTAGTTTTCAAAACTTAAACATAAGTTTCTTATAAAGTTAACTAAAAGTACTTAAAGAATATGGTATGTAGATACATTGTATATCTGTATATCTGAACTATTTAAGACAGTATTTTGTTTTCGTTTTGATCAATTCAAGAGAAATATATAACTGGTCATATGAATCTAGAAGGTACGAATAAACATTACAAGGTTCGACATCTTCCTGATTAGTTTGTTTCTTGGAGGGTGGGTTTGGGGTGGTTATGATTTACGTTAAATATAGAGATCATTTTAGTGACTATTTCAGCAATTAATAGTTATTCTTCATGAACTGCATGTATTATAAGTAGACGAATATTAACAGTTTTGTGTATACGTATACAATAAAGCAAAATTATTGACTCAACATAGTCAATAGATCCGACATCTTCCACAATAAAGACTCTTATTACACCATTGTATCATAAAACTGATAAAATGGCAATTAATAATGTGTTTTATTGCTGTCTTAGCTGTATAGTAATTGTCAATTTAAGCAATCAGATTGATAGCGAACTAATAGTTTGACACAATTTGTCCAAAAACTGTTTCTTTATAGGCTTTGTTTCACTTCTTTAATTTACATCTGGAAACGGATATGTGTATGTAATTGTAGAATTCATGATTTTCTGATGTTTTTACATGTTCACAAAGTTTTAGTTTTGACATTCATGTATTGATCTGATTGTGCCAACGATATGATTATACAACACGAAAACATATGTATTGAAGTAGTATTTTTTTTAAAAAATGAACAAAGAGCATTGTATGTAATTAAGATAAAGAGTCTTTTTAAGATTATAATTACTTTTCTACACATAGACAACTTTTCACTCAACATAAAACGGAGTAGAAATATCCAGTTTTATTTCCAGTTTTTGTGATCCTGAGATGAATGCAAAAGAAATTATCACCTTCTTTCCGTATTGTTCTTTCATATGATTTAAAGGAAACAATGTAAAAAATCAAAACAACATTTTAAGATGTGCTCAAGGGAAAAATACATCATAGCATATCATGATCTTTTTTCTTTTCTTTTTGGATTGCACACGATATTTTTTTTAGTGTCGACTTAAGAGGTTGTCCTTTAATCAATAAGATAGAGTGATAAAACGAATAAACACCATCAGTTATGCTAAAATTCGTTTTCAATATTTAAGAACTCTTTGAATAGGTATGCCTCCTTCCACTTCCAAACATTAATACATCTCAAATGAAAACTGGGAAGAAATTATGACAATTTTCATTACTCAACAGCTTACTGCAGTATATAATTTATCAAATTGAATGTGTTCATTCGATTTTAGGATTTTTATCCAACTTTGAAAATGATAGCAATTGACTTTATTAGATAAAATGTGTTTTGAGAAGTTTCAATAAAAGTTTGGATAGAATAGAAAAGAAGAACTCTTTCTTAATTTAATATTTTTTATACCCCAGGAACAAATCAATTGTAATCATTGTCTATAATGTTGAAGTGACCAATAAGAGCTTTTTTTTGCTAGAAAGTATCATTTATAATTCGCCATGTTTGTTGATACAAAGTGACAATTTATGTATTTTTAATTTGTATTTTTCTTATGTTTTAGCTATAATGATACTTATAAATGGAAGTAAGCAAACAAACCCTACGTGAACAGATTAAAATCGTTAAACTGTGCACCTGCGTTGCAAGAATTATGTTTCAGTGGATAAAGAGTATGTGGCCTTTTGCATTCAAGATGAACCGGCATCTTCTTGAGATAAAGTACACAATCAAATACAAGGCAATATGTTGTTAATAACATTTTACTTATTGCAAATCTATTTTTAAAACAGAATAAAACACATGTTCATATTCCAATTTGTTTTTAAGTCTCCTTAATAAACGAAGAAATCAGAAACATAATCGTCAATCAATTACAATTTCACATGATATAACTCGTTTTATAAAGCATTGCATCTAAATTCAGAAGGGCACACTCTACTCAAAGTTGTAAACTAAACTATCATTTTTATGACAGTTAATTGCAATGAATTACAACATTTTCAAAAACTATCGTAGAGATATTTCTGAGGAATCATCTTTATTCCTATTGTACAGTTGCAACTGTGCAGGTCAGATGTACATACGAAACGGTTGTTTGTGACAGTTTTAACAACTTATAAAACTATGTAATAGTAATACTTACATTTTTGAATAACAAGAAATATCTATTAAAACTTATTCAACTTGAAGTAAAAAGTGGTGTGTAAATGTAAAATTAGTTTAGTCTTACAATTTGTAATGTTTTGCAAGAGAATCAGCATTTTAACTCAGTTTTTAAACTGTTTGCTATTACTTATCACTCACTAGTTCAATGTTTCCTCGAAAAAGATGAGGCTAATAGTCCAGTCAGTCTGTAAATCGACCTCAAACAAATTGCAACAGAAACTATTTTACCTGGTATAGAAAGTATATGGAATAACATGAATCATATCAAAAGTCTAGCAAAATCTAAGTTGCGCAACATAGAAAAAAACGGGTTTTTATCGCGTTATTTTTTGTGATTTTTTTCTGACGACAACGGTCTTCCATAGGCGAACAAAGCGTCTCCGATACTCAGAATAGCGACTGCATAATGGCGACAACAACAACAAAATAAGTGTAAACAGAATAAATGTCAGTAAAGTACACTGTAAAGTGGGTTGGTGTATTTTCCTTAAAATATTACAGATCATAATAGGAATTATTAATGTGGGGTCGTAAGTTTATTATGAGTATTTGTTGAAAATTATTACTTGTTTTACCAGTTCTTTATCCGTTGAAGGTCAACAGGTGTTTCAAGCGATCTGTATTATACTTTTCATGGAAAACAGTTTAATTTATATAAATTACAACTCTGATTAACTCCTGTCTAAGTAAACATTCAAAAACGGCCTAAAAATGTGTACTTATAACAAGTTAATTTCGACAGTATTTTTAAACTATGGAACGCCATTATCACTTAAATTATGACGAATTACGTTAAATAAATTATGAATACTTTAATCATGTTTTATTGTTAAATGTGTATTCAAGGTTGTTTTTTTTTTGTATTTTTTAATAGTTTTTTTAAAATTGTTTTACATATATAATGTATGTAATGTTATTATTATTTCAGGGGTACCGCTTTGAGGTAGTCTTCATTGATGTATGCTTGATTTTGAAAATAAAAAAAAATCCAGTAAACTATATGTACACTAAATGAGTAAGTTTGCTTTCCTGTGCTTACATTTGTAATATTTTTACATATATAACACAAATATCAAACATTATCTTTTACTAGTTTAAGTGAATATTAAACATGGAGGAAATAGAGCGTCGTATGCATAATTCAATATATCTGAAATTATTTTCAGTTTTTAATAGACATAGAAGAAATTTATACATGAAAAGGTGACATGAAAAAATTATCAATAAACAAACGTGATTTCTAGTTATAAATGGTTCATGATTGGCGATGTGTATGAGTTCAAGGTAAACATGCACAGTTGATCCATAATTTAAAAGAAAATCTTTTATGCATACATTCTCACCTGCGCGAATTTGAAAAAGTGCATTACGTGTACAAGATTAATTCACAGCGATATATTAGTAGTTCGTTCGGAATGCACACCTAAGTTATCACTTTTAAAATCAAAATTTAAGCAAATACATGTAACAATAAAAACATCTGTGTATTTTATAGAACCTTATTTCACGTAAATATGAAAATAAGATTCTAATCCTTTCAAACTTGAAGTAATTTCTATGTTACAGATTTCATCAACACACCAGAGCCAATGGGTATGCCCGATCATGTGTTCTGGGGACACTGTGATGTATACGAGTTAAAGGTAAAGATGCATAGTTGAGACATTTGTTTCACAAAATCACTTTAATGATATTTTTCATATAAGCAAACTTTTAAAGTGTGTCATAAGTTCCATATAGTAACATATCAGTACAAATATTTTTGAATGCATGCACGGATGGGCATTAGAAATGCTTAAAACTGAAAGGTGACATTTTTAAACTTAATATGTGACTTTATCTTTACGTTACTTCCAAACACTTTAACCAGTAGGTATTTTATATTTATAATTTTAGATTAAAACCTTAGAAAATAATAATAATATCTGTCATATGTTGCGGTTTGGATCGGAATATCCGTCCCGAGGTGACCCGCCCATTGGGCGGTAACGAGGCTTGCCGAGTTACCGCACATGGGCGGGTTACCGAGGGACGGATATTCCGCTCCGAACCGCAAACATATGTCAGATATTTTTTCTTGCATATTTTACGATATAACATTATATTTTGAATTCTTTATCTTAATTTTCAATAGGAATTTATGCCATTACAACCGAAACTATTTTCGTACAACAGCGTATGAAATTACAACTTCATTCATAACGGTAAAATTACGTCATCCTAAAACCCCAGTCACACTAGAGCTTAAGATTACTTGCGACCACCGGTGACTTGTAAAACTGATAATCATCAGCGATTGTCTGCGACCAAAACCATTTTTGCACGTATAAATTTACTTCTGCGACTATCGTAAGACCAGTCATCATTGACAATCGCACGACAGGTCATAAGCAAACGTACGATGGGCTCAAGATTGTGTGGGATTACTTACGACTACCCGTGACCTGTCATGCGATCACCTACAACTAGTCGTACGACCATCACACGATTACTAAAACTACTCAAGATTATCAGTGACTAGTGGCAATTTGTAAAGACTGTCGTAAGATTGTCGCACTTCGGAACGACCATCGTGCGACAGCCTAAGACCATATAAGATCACTAGCGACCTGTTTGATCGCAAGGAGGTTTTTGTGCAAGCTCAAAAACCTCTCTCGACTGAAATTGGTCGTGGGACCTAAATAAGATAGTCTGCGACTGTCAAAGATCACCGATGACCGTCGTAAGACGTTTTAAAGAGGTCACTGGTGATCGTGAACTGGTCTTCACTGGTCGTAAGCTCTAATGTGACTGGGGCTTAAGCGTGACATTATACAGCACGCGACTCATCTGGCACCCCCTATGCCAGATGAAATTTCCGGCATGGGTAATACTAACGGAAACGCCAGTCTGATATTTAAGAAAAGTGTGTCATATCAGCAACTTTGATCAAATAAATACACCTAAAACATTTTAAGGAAAGCCTTTTAGGAAAAATACATCTTATAATACCACGTACTGTTCTGGGATAACTGAAACAAAACGTAATCAGCTAACAATAACGAGAATACAAGAATGCAATGGATGATCCAGAAATACCCGTAATTTAAACAATAAATTAAATAATATTAATTCAAAGTTCATATAACAAACACTTTATTACTGCGTAATATATCCTCTTTACAAGGAAACAAGAATATGATAATTAAACACAGTATGCCTACCATATAAGCAAACTTAGGATTTGTCACATTATGCAAAAAAGGTTGATGTTCTATTGTTCTTATACATAGGGAATCCTCCCGATGCCATTCTCTGTAAGTGTACTAACAACCTAAACCTATGACTATTGAACTGCTAATTGCTTTGATTGCTGTGATTCATTACACATGATCATCTTAAAAGTTGAAGGCATGAAATATATGATTCATTTAATTTAATTAGATAAAAAGTGCATGTAAAAGAAAACAAAATAAAGTATGAAAAACAGCACATAATCGTCAATTAGAATTCATTTTGTTAAATCGCATTGAAATTGTGCAAGGCCGCATATGACAGCATATTTGTATTTTTCAATCGCCACAGCGACAGAGTACGTTAACTTCACGCGTATTCTTCTATGCCGCAAACGATATGTATTTATCTTTAAAATTACTCCAACAGTCTGGTAAAAAAACTTCTTTACCCCTCAAAAAGTTTTGTATGCATGACTAACAAAATACTTGTGTCGAATTTCTTTTATCATATTAGATGTTTCTATGGTAGGCTGTCTAAACAGTTGACAAATGTTTATGAAAGTGCCGTTTTCCGACGCCTTTATGAAGACGTTTTTGCATAAATAAACGTTGCAATTACAAATGATTACACAATAATACAATGTTCAAACGACGTGACATTTTAGCAGGCTTTACATTAACCTTCGGCAAATATTAAACATGATCCCTTTTTGTGTCGGGCACTTTGGTGTATTATAAATTTCAACGAGTTGCGCTGCTGTGGCGTATCCATGGTTATTTAGGGCGGCCTGAGATTGTACTGGATGTTTATAATCAATTATATTTGGCAATTAAATAGAAGAAACATTGATCTTTGCGCATTTATATATGTAATGAAGAAAACATAAAAAGTTATCAGAATTATAAACAAATTTTGGGTAATTCTGGATCAACCTCCATATAATGTAAAAAACAGATTTTATAAACCTTACAATATCAGTTATTGTTTTTTTTTTTTTCAAGATGAACTCCTGTCGGATTTGTTAACGGCTGTTTGATGATCATATACAAAGACAGTTTTTAAAGGCAACGAAAAGGAATGCAAGGGAATAAATGCTGCCAGTGAGAAATAAAATGACAGTTTTAAAAGTTGAATCGGAATAATATATTCACATTGAGTGTAAAAAGATGTACTGTAACCCACATTACACTAAAAGAGACACTAAGACAGAAAAAGAAAACACTGATGCCACCATTGAGATCAATGACTGATAAGTTTTCATACAAAAAAGATTGTTTATATTGTGGTCAATCTTTAGTAAGTAAGGGTAAAACAAGGAAGTGTGATGTTTCGCCAGTAAGGACACTAGAACCTACTATTTTGAATATATGTACATGTATACAGAGGAATGACTGTTTGTCTGATACAGTGGGAGCAAGGATAGAACAGGTTCACAACTTGCTTGTAGCCGATGCTCTTTACCATCAAACATGTTTATGCTCCTCTAATTTCAGAACTGGAAAAGATATACCAGAAGAATTTCAGGTGCTACCATCTAGTGATAAAAAGTGAAAGATTGGTCGACCAGAAATTACAGAAGCGAGTGACGCTTTGTAAAAGTTATGACATTCTTGTGCTTATGCTTAGCGAAGATATTTTACAAATTAAAATTTGAAAATATTTTTTTTTTACATTTTATGCTCAAATGTATCAAATATTTGAAATTGACCTTCCAAAGTTCAATGTCACCTCTTTTGACCCAATGTCATGATGTTATATAATGACTCAGAAAAAAATACAACAGATGTGCTTGAAAGTATTCAAGTTAATATAAAACTCAATATTATTAATTTATTATCATAGATAATATAGATTTCCTTAATGTTTCTTTATTTTGTATAAAATTACCCCACCCACTAGCTGTACAATGTTAATATAAATATTTCAATATCTGCATTAAATATTGATGGAATGTAAATTAAATTCATAAAACGTTGAAACTTGACAGTTTTCACATGTACGTAAACCATTATGTATTCTCTGTTTAATATCATATAAACATAGAGCTTTCAATAAATTGTTGATCTACAGCAATGTAAAAATATAATATTACCCCACCCACTTAAGTTAATTAATAAATTTTAGAAAAGGTAAAAGTAGTTTCTTTAAACAAAACAACTTTTTGATTACTTTATGTTACTATAGGGATAGATTAAGCTATATTTTATGCATATTATATATAAAACTGATTGGAAAATTGTATGTGTGTATTACATTGAGTTCAAATTAAAAAAATAAATACAATGATACCCATATATTTGATCTCAATTTTTGAAAACATTCTCCAATTTAGATTTTTCTAGACTTTTGATATGTTATACAATATAGGTCTGGGGTTTCAAAACACTGAAAATATTTTCTGTTGCAATTTGTTTGAGGTTTGGCTCTATTTTGAGCTAGAATGACTGGACTATAAGTCTTATGTTTGATACGAAGAAAAGAATAATTAAGGAACAAATCAACATAATAAGAGACATCCAAATAACGAAAAGATACAGTGTTCGAAGACAACCATTCAATTATGCCTCGTTATTCATTGCTTAATATGAAAACGTGTTCAATTGAAATTGGTTGATATAATCTTTAATTTAGCTAATGAACGAGATATAAATTGCTTTCTTGGTAATGATGCTTTTTAGTAATTGATTGTTATTAAATCCATTTATAAATGAAAGGATATTCTTATGACTTCTTTAGATTGTGAAATGTTACAGTAGGCAATGTACCTTACACATTACGACAGTAGAATCCACTTGAGTTATATAGAACCATCAAAGGAATTCGATAAAGTAATATATTAAACAATCTATGAATTTTAGAAAGTAATTATTGAAAATGTTAAAGGAAACTAGCTCTTCTTGTAAGAATTATTTTTGGTATTATAGTTGACTATTAAGGTCTAAAACCTAAAAACATAAAATTAATAATTCGTACTTAGATAATTTGGGACATTTTAAACGGAAAACTATGCAAAGTAAATTAAAGAAATATTATCCTAAAATAAGATTGACAATCGATTATTTGCTGGGATTCTCAGCCCAATATGACTTTAGCAAAGCGAAAGCTAAAGACTATTTGCACATTCAAATAATTGTTTTGGAAAAAAATATATAATTTTAAATTTGTTAAACTTACACAATTGTACAATGCATTTTGTCAAATGAGAACTCACTCTGGAAATGTATTCCATTACAAAAACATTTTCTCTTAGATTCCTCGCATTTCTGTTAAATAATAGAAATAATGCAAATTAGTTTCTGTATCCTGAATGACTAAATTATTTTTAAGGATTCTTGAATTCTTGCTTTGCATGGTTTCCAGTCCGTAAATTTCCTTATTCAGAAAATATTTTTTGGTAAAAATTACCACTGCGTAGAAAACTTTTGGAAAGTTATTATGGACAACGAATCAATAACAATTCGCTGTTTCACGTTTATGCCTTGTTAAACTAGATAGCTGATATGTTGACAGAAACTAGATAATTTACTATGACCATGCATTTATTTATAAGATAAATGGAAATTATTGTTTGATAATTGTCATTTGAGTACTTGATCATGTCTGTCTGACGTAATTGATTCAAGTCTGGCTTTGCAGCATAAACTATGTAAGACTTTATAACATACGCATAGCTTTACTTGTTATATCATAGTATAATGTATAAATTTATCAAAAGATGCTTTGAATAGAAAGGATTTAATACAGCACTAGCAGCTCAAGGGATGCGGAATCGGCTGCAAATTAATTATGTGTTATTGATTACGTTCCGTAAGCTAGTAGGATAGCATTATCACATGAAAGAATCCGACGACTCTTGCGCGGCTAGAACCTACAACTGTGACAAGCAAGTGGTTAGGAGTAAACGACGCCCCTATATGTAGTTTTCTATCAGAACGTATCCTCTGTAAATTTAAAGACAAATAATAAATGAAGCAACAAAAAGAAAAAATGTGTAAACCTAAAACACATTTTCATGTAAAGCAAAGTTCGCAATTATACGTTATATGGATCATAATGTATCTTCAAACAACTCAAATTTCTAATATTAGGTAAATAATTGTTGAATGAATCTTAAATCAATATCAATATGTTATCAATACGGTAATTGTAAATTGGTATTTGGTTGAGAAATTGTATAGATTCGCGACCTTAAATGTCATACCCAATTTGCACAAACCGGATAAATGACAATCACGCCCCATGAGTTAAATAAAGCCATTAAATAAAAAAGAGTTACTATAGAATCTAAATATGGCTACTATCTCATTAATCCAAACAGTTGCCAACGGGACAATCTATTAAATCATATGCACTGGGTGTAGTGCACTGGCTGATCAGGTTTTTTCCAATCTAAGAAAAGAATGAGACCCATAATTGCGCGTGTTCATACATAAAATAATTGTTGAGCTCTGTTCTTTATGAGCTAGTATAAACTTGAATTACTTCGGTTTGCGCAGCGTTTGCGGAGTCGTTAAGCACCATCTTGTTTGCGTGCGTCTTTTTTCCCCAATGGAAACAAGCAAAAGTTGTGTTTTTTATTTCCTAATAAGGCTTTACTTTTTTAAAATTAAGCCTATTTTTTTATAAAACAAATATTGACTAGTGAGCTATTGAATATGATGTGATATTTATCGGCGAAAATCAGAGAGGAAATGTCTTTACAAGTGAAAATCACATCATATTCAATGGCTCACTAGTCAAAAATTGTATCATGGAATCGAGTGCAAATCGGGTAACGACCACGTTTCTTCATATGACACCAGTACTGGTTGGGTCAAGGAAGCAGACTCAAAAGTGATTAATATAAGTTGCAACAGTTGAATGATATAAATATCTTGATTTATTTAAAAACGTAATGTAGAAGCAAATAACAAGGTTATTCAATGTTTAAATGTTTTGGTCTTCTCATCAACAGATAGAATTTTATTGTTACAGAATCCATAATATCATATTCGAGCGCTCTATTTATTTAGTTTTTTATAACATTAATTATTACATTAAATTAAATAAATATATAAAAAAAAACATTATTTATAGTATAATTTGAGGTTTCGTGTAAAAACAAATCATACAATCATGGCAGTATCTCAAAAATTTAAGTTATATTTCTCCGTGACTATAATTATTTTGTCATATTTCTGGCTTCACAAGTGATCAATTTACATTAAATAGTTCTCTAATAATACTTTTAACCACCATATAAATGAAGTAAATTGAAACACTCTTTTATTTATTCATTTCCAGAGAAATATCTTAGAATCATTGACCTTATAAAACGCAATTTCATTTTATTTTTGAAACTACCATTTAGATAACGTTTATTTATTTTTGAAACGCACATGCAGAGTTCGTGTGAAGACACATTGTTTAAGAAATGATACTTTCAAAAACGCTCTTGGTAATTTGTTTTGAAACAAAAATAATTATACATTCCCCGTTTGCTGGCTAATTTCTCTCCTGATCACTTGGGCTATAACAGGTACAACATTGAGCATTGTATTGTAGTTATTGTAACGAGTTTTACTGTTTGCCGTTGCTTGATTATGGAAAAGAAAAGTGTGCAAATACAATACCTATATCTATATACCCTTTTTCTTTATAAAATGTGAATAAATTACTAAATGTTTCCATTTAAATATACTTTGATCAATATGAGATATGTGGTATATCTTAAAAGATTATGAGTGACTAATCGGACACAATTGTGCATAATTACACTATATCTATATTCAATGTTTATGATTAAAAATTTCTGTGTTGATTTATTTATCATTTCATACATGTATGATATAAAATGAAACTTTTATAGCTATCAAACACGCCTCAGTCATAATTAATATATTTTTCTTAAGACGCATGAGTTATTATTTGTTATTCGCTTGTTTCGGTTTTACGTCACACCGACACAATATAGGTCATATGGCGATGTTCCAGCTTTACTAGTGAATTAAGACCTCAGATGCCATTCCGTGCCTTATTTCATGCATAAATGGGCACCTAAGT